TCACTTACTGCAAATTTTAAAAGGGCTGTGCTCAGTCCTCATAGTCCATTAAAAAACATTTTTCCCCAAACAAGCCTGGACTGCAAAAGAACCCCGATCTCAAGCCTCATGTGGAAAACAGGGTTTACGATGAAAATACTAAGTCAGCATAAACCATAATGGTGCTGCAGTGCTGCTGAGGACTGGACTGTTTCTTTCAGTTTGTTCCTTCCAGAAGGCAAAAAAAGAGGCGGATATTCTTACCCAGAGAAAAATGACCATGGAGCAAGCAATAATTCTTACGTTCTGTTTTGGTAATACCTTCAATTTAACAACTGTCTGTGAAAAGGAGTTTCTCACAATGAGTTATTTAGTCACTATGCTGTCTAGGGTATAACTGTCATTCTGAAGGGAACATCCATGCTATGATTTGCTGTCAGTCTGTTGTACACTGTAAGTCCATTCATTTTTTCCCCTAACAGGTGGAGATAATGCTGTGATACACAGTAAAAGATAGATGATAAAAACAATTCTTTAAGGAAAAAAATAGACACAAGGGGGTTGGCAGAAAAATATGATAAAACGTTCCATTCTCCTTTTTAAAGTACCATAATAAAACATGTCTGAAGTGAAGTAGAGATAGCATAAACAGTGGAGCATAGGTCTGCAATCCCAGCATGATATTGCATAAGGAGCAATCACGGAGCATTCCCACCACACTTGCCTGTCACACATTATTAACAAGAGTGTTTAGGACTATTAAGTAATCCTGACAAAGGGACATGATCAACTTAAAAAGATGTTGCATTTGTATTGGCTGCATTTGACGCAATAGAATTATAAATAATTTAAGAGACTTTAAAGCCAGAAGGTGCCATTTTGATATATATATATACATATATATACATGTATATATTTTATTTATTTTTTTGGTCCACAGTCCAGCACAGTGCTGACCATGGTGTGTTGCAATAGGTTTTCCTGAAATTTGCTCAGTTAACTTGCAGCTTGTAGTAAAACTAGATGGAGGATATTATTCTGTATCCTGTTGCTGCTTGTAATGACTGGCAGAGGTTGCTGAAGACTGGAAGAGAACAAACACCAATCCTATCTTCAAGAAAGGCACGAAGAAAGATCTTGGGGACTTAAGGCCTGTCAGCCTCGCCTCTGTACCTGAAAGGTGACAGACTAAATCCTCCTGGAAAGCAACTTCCAGATACAGGAGGTACAAGCAGGTGATTAACAGCAGTCTACCTTGATTTATGAAGGGGAAATCATGCTTGACCAACCTGATGGCCATCTACAATGGGGTAACCAGCTGGGTGGATAAGAGAGTGGTGAATGTTTTTTACCTTGACTTTAATAAACCCTTTGGCACGGTCTCCCATAATGTTACCATAGACAAGCTGACAATGTATGGGTTAGATAAGTGGCAGTGAGGTGGGTCGAAAACTGACTGACCCAGCCCAGAGGGCGGTGAGTGGTTGTGATGGTGTGCTCCCACATCCACCACATCACCTGGTCTGAGCAGAGTGCCATCAGTGGCAGCTGTGATGGATGTGTCCTGCTGTGATGGCTGTGTCTGGGATTCAGGGGAGACAGAAGACAACCCAGGGCTTACTTCAGCAATTTTGAGCCAAATTTAAAAGGAAGTCCAACTAAAGCCAAATTTGGAAGAAGCTAACATCAGTATGCAAGAATGACCATAAATCCATCATCTTACCCCATAAATAGTGAGCAGCCCTGGAAACCTTTGAGCTCTCCTGACACAACAGTGGGCTTCACAACAGGACCCCCCTTGGGCAGAGATGCTTCCCAAGGTTACTTCTGTAGATTAGGAGGACCCTTATTTCTACTGATAGTTGGTAAGCATGATAATGTGCTATAGTGGTTCTTTGTGATCATGCTTTATAAACTTAGCTAAGTAGCATAAAGGATATAACTCAGCCACAGTGGATTTAGCTGCACCTAGGTTCAGGTTCAAGTTTAGAAATCAAAAAAAAAAAAAAATTTAGAAATCTCACTGCTGACCGCGAGCCAGCAGTGTGACCTCATGGTAAAAAAGGCCAACAGCTTCCTTGGCTGTGTTATGAAGAGTTGGCAGCAAGTTGAAGGAGGTGATCCTTCCCCTCTGCTCAGCACTGCTGAGGCCACAGCTGGAGTGCTGGGTCCTGTGCTGTTCTCCCCAGTGCAAGAAGGAGATTTAGATCTTTCAACAGCAATCAGGGAGAAAAGAAAGCTAAAACAAATAAAGAAATCACAAGCAAGATGCAAAGTGCTGCATTTAGCACTTTTTGGTTTCTTGCAAAAGTTTCAGGTTGACAATATCCCCTTAAACTACAAAACCAAAAATAGCTGGTGACAAAACCAGTTCCTTTTTTTTTCTTTTTTTCTTTTTTCTCTTTTTTTTCTTTTTTTTTTTTTTTTTTTTTTTTGTCATCTTCTCTTTAGGCCACTCTGATATATCTGCATTGGCATTAAAAAGCCATTATAAGCAATTTAAACTCTGAATTGATCCTGACGCATATGTTCAGGTCCTCCTCATATGGCCTTTCAATAGTTCTCGATTCAAACTGCGAACAAGCATCACCCTGTAAACAGAGGAGATAATTATGCTTTATTGATCAGACCCTCAGGGTATGAATGGAAACCAGGCAGCTATTTGAGAACAGCCATCAATGTGGTTTTTAAATTGCAGTATCTCAGTCTTTTCCTTTCCAAATACTCCCTAAATATGGTCCTCTAAAATGGAAACCTGGAGCCAACAAAATTTTGCCACTGGCTTCAGTGGAAACCAATATGTCAATGTAGATTCACAAATGGTGATTTTATATGTTTCCCACAGGCTTCTTCCCATGTTATCTGCTCAGTTTCCACCCAGTACTGGCTCAGAGTCATCTCCTGGAATATCACCCACAAAGCTCTCAGATGCATTATTGCAGGCTGTCCCTGTCCTCTAACACACCTCACCCCCCTTCACAGCTGCCTAGAAAAACAAAAGTCCCTGTTTAATTCAGTGTCAACATCAGTTTTCTTCAGTTTTGCTAAAGTAAGGGTTTTAGCACCTGCCACACCTCTTCCATAACAAATGTACCATATTGGACTCATGAACAGACATTTCCAGCTGAAACTGTAATCATTCATTTCTCAACCTCTTTCTTTCTGCCAGTTAACACCCCCAGAAATCAGGACCAGATACGTTAGAAAAAAAGGGAGAGTTTACTAATTCCATGTCTGAATTTATCCTACTATCTGAGAGAAGGAGAAATAGTTTTGCGATGATAGCTAATAGTCCCTTAAACTAGCACCACACTACATTAGAAAACAGTGAAATTGTTCACAGCTGTTACTGCAATGCACTTAAACCCAGATGATCAATTTGGGGTTATCACCATAAGTAGATGTAAAATGCACCTGGTCCCCTGGCCCCACCATTCAAGCACTGAGATAGCTGAGCTCGTATTTTCACTTTTCAGTCTCATCCCAGCCTGAGATGTGGGTTCATCCTCTCCATTTGTAGGGAACATGTTAGAGTGCACTATCCCTGGTTCAGTAGGGCCATGTCCCAAAGTTCAACTGTGCTGTCATTCTGCTTTGCTGCTGGTTGCTCCCTCGGGGATAACTGCCTTGTCCCCTCTCCACTTCTACAAAGCCCTCATTTTCATACTGTATAGACAGAGACTGAGTGTCTTGAGATATCTGCTGCTGTCACATATAGTTGAACAGTCTGAAAGGTTATGAGGAGCAGCAAAAAGCATGATCACTAAAAGCTAATTTTGCTAGGAAAGCAGTCTGAAAACATGCATGGAAATCTCTTCTGCAGAAATATTCACATTACACAAATAGCTGCTACCTGTGAAGGGAGATAAAAAGATAGCAAACCTCTTTGACTGCTTCACTGGCCCTCCTAGCCCCTGCACTGCAGCAGCAAAAAATGTCTATGTTACTATGTATGTCATTAAACACATCTGTAAAGAGACTGGCTTTGGACTCACAGGGCAAATAGTCCCTTGCCAACTGTTTTTAATTGTTTTAAAGGATTTTTGTCCATGAAACCCACAGAGAGAAAAACAAACAAACAAAAAAAAAAACAGCAATTATTTACACCCAGAATTATCCCTGTAACTAAACGTACAAAAAGGCTGAATGATACACAGGGCTTACTTCCCCCAGTGATAAAATGAGAATGACCTCTGGGACTTCATTTAGTTTCCACCTCTCATGAGTTATGAGCCACTCTTCACTCCTAAGGTATAGCCCATATCTCACTCAAACTCTCAGCTGACCACAAAACCCCCTTCCAGAAAAAAAAAAAAAGAAAAAAAATTACTCTTCCCTCAGTCTGCGGAGGATTACCCATGTCATGGGAAGCTATATTATTGTCTTTAGTGCTGCTAGGAATTACTTTCAGGATGTTTCAGCTCATTACCTCAAGTCTTCATCAGCTATTTTCTGAGCGCAGTAACCTTTGTGATGCAGGTACTGTATATATCTACGGTATTGATTCTGTTTCTCCTGCTACATTACATGCAATACATGTAAACAGACAGCGGTGTTTCATTCCCGGCTAGCAAGGTGCAAAATGGTAACGGATCCAGCAGCTACAAAGCACAGATAAAACCTTGAAGTAATCAGCTGAACTGTCATGGAACTAATGCCATGATATAGTGGAAGCAATTATTTGTACTTATATATCTTACGGTAAAATGCGATCGGTGCTTAAACAATCCTGTTGGTGTTGTCAAGGACGCATTTAGCTTCAGATGTTCCCCTCTTAATCAGTAACTAGTTATTAATTAATTAGATAGTGATCACGGCTGTTTTTCATATGCAGTTGAAGTATTATTGCACTTGATTTTGTGCCTCAGCACAGATCATTGCTAATTTACTGCACGTGCGGTTGTGTTAATGTGCTCTAATGCAAACAATTATCACAAGGACAGGGCACCTAACATCTGACCTAAAATGTTACGGAATTGTTCTCGCAGCTGCTTTCTTATTTCCAGCCCCAGCCTGGATAAGGCACACCGGGGGAGAGGCCATTCCCTGTAATGGGAGGGTGAGAAGGGAGACTGGAAATCAGCACTAGGGGATTAAGGCTGGGGATTTTGGAAAGCTGCGTGGGACACTGTTAGGGCAGCTTGTGAACAGATGAGTGAAGTAAGCAGAAAATGCAGCAAACTGAGTGGTTACAGACTGACAGCAAGAGGGTGTCTCACTGTTCTTGCTTGTCTGCTATGCTACAGGTAAAGATGTAGTAGTCCCCCCCCCTTTTTTTTTTGAGTCTCAGCTCTGCAAAATTATCAATTCTAATGGTGCCTGTAGAGAACAATATATTTGTTAACAGCTAACAAAGAGCAAGTTTTCTGTCCTCCCAGGATTAGTAATGCTTAGTTATGCTGGCTAAATAATATATTTTTCAGTAGATACCAACAGTGTCAAGAGAAAAACAAACAGTAGCAGAAAACAGCCTTTATCTGAATTGCATTTAATAGGGGCCAGAAGCAGTAAGCTAAGAATATTCAGCTGAAGTAGTTCAGTCAGAGATAGCTAAACTTTTTACCGTGCCTATTTAAATAGAGAGGCTTGAGATGGAGATTAGCTATTTATCAGCTGCATGGTGGAATGAGAAACAGCTGCAACATATTTTGGGGGTAAGTTTGATATTTTCTTCACTATGAATCCACAGGTTCATATTCTGCTCTGGTTTATGCCTGTGGAAATGTGGTATATCAGCATTAGCTTCCCACGTTGCTTTGTGGTTCCATGCCCACATATATCAGAGCAAATTTAGTTTATGTTGGTTCAGTTAATCAAATTAATTTCACAACCACATAAAGGACTTTAAATATATTTCTAATGTTAGCAAGTATAGGTGCAAAGAAATAAGTCCCCAGAACACAAAATGTAGCATGGGCAGCAAAACACAGCTCCCAGCTCCCAGCAAAGCATGTCCCTGTACCTTGCAGCCCATCAGTAGGATTGTAGGATTTCACTTCAGGGCTGTAAAATAACATGAAGTTTCCCTCCCAGACTTTTTTTTTTTTTTTTTTTTCTTCCTGACTTTCCACCAAAGGTAAAAGTTTTGCGCCTCACCCCCAAACCCAGCTCCCAGGTCCTTGACAGAGCCATTTCTACATTTTGAACTTTTATTCCTGACCCCACCGAGTTCCCCTTGCGTCTGAAGCTGGGAACAGGCAAAACAGCTGCTCTCATCTCCCCGCTGACAGCTTACATTTTGAAAGGCTGGAAAAAAAAAGGCTGCTAACCTCACCAGTATGAGTGTTTAATTTGCTCGGATCAATTTCTGTCAAAGGCAGCCTGGAAGCCTTTTTTTTTTTTTTTTTTTTTTTTTTTTCTCCCTGCTTGTCTGTGCAATGTTTCTTTCTCTGCTGCTGATCAGTTCAGCCTCACTGGCGTTCAGCTGGTGACCTGTGGATATCGAGGGCTCCCCAACAGATCCCTCTGATTTGCACAAGTCCTCCTGTTTTGCCACAGGGAAGCTTTGCTCAGATATCTGCTTGATTTCAGCTCATTTACATGACAAGGCTGCTACTCTGCCTGCAAGGACTCTTGCTTTGTAGCTTGGCTTGTTGGCTTGATTTTTGATACATAAAGGACAATGAACTTTTATGTTTTTCCTTCTCTCTCTCTCCCTCTCTCTTTTTTTGAGGGAGGGCTGACGATCTCTCCAAGTTCACAAATGTCCAAGTAGAAGCTGCAGGCAAAGATGTAAGTTTTGGAAAAACTAAACTCATTTTAGGTTCCTGCCTATTCATAGAGACAAAGGTTTCAAAATATCAAAGACTAGAAAATCTGAAAGGCAGATTATTTTCTTTTTGATGAATACAGGATTTAAAAGGAAAATTTATGCACTGCAGCTTGCCAATGTTTCGGGGAGTGCTGTTGTGTTCGTTTACTCCTGCCAGTGTTCTCCAGAACCTGGGGACAGCAGCAGCCTCATCCCTCTTTTACTCTAATTACCCTCAAAGGCAAACTGTAAAGCACACAGCTGGAGGTTCTTATCCTGGGAAAGCAAGGGGCATCACCTGTTATTATGATTATGACCAAAAATATCACACACACACCACACACACACACAAGGAAAGTCTTTCAATTTGACGCTTTGTATGGCAATGTGAAATGTCTTTCAAAACAGTTTTTTTTTTTTTTTTTTTTTTTTTTTTATAAATTTTGAGTAAAATAATTGGCTTATTTTAGAAATAAAGGTTATTTATTTATTTATTTTAAGAGGTCTTGCTATCTTCTCTGCTTAGTAGCCAGAGCCTAGAGAAAGGACAAATAGAAACCACAGATTTCTCTAGCCATGCTGAGATACTTGCCAGAATAAATATTGCTGGTTTAGACCATATAGTAACTCAGAAAAATGTGCATGAATTATGGTCAGAGGAAACATGCTGTGGTATTGAAGAAGGTGTATATTTGAAGATGAACACAAAATGGACAAAGATATCTCTGTGTTAAGAACTCATGTCTGCCGTTCTGCTAATGTCCACGTAACTCAATATAGATATATTATGATATGCTAAAACTGAACCTTCCAGCAAACCTCCAAGTAACCCAGCACCAGAGATGGGCTCCAGGAGAGCAGGGCTATTACCAGAAGTCAATATCAGAAAGTCACAACAATCAGGCTACACTAATAATGCAATGCTCTGTGGATTTAAGGAAAAGATGCTGAGTTGCCCTATGCTGAGGGAAAACATCCATCCAAAATGCAGCAAAATTTGACAGTGTTGTAATGTTTTGCCAGTCCTGGCTGGGAATAGCAAAACTCTAGGGCTGAGCTGCAAGCTCAATGATCCATATGATCCATAGTTATGTGCATGCCAGGGATTCTTTTTTTTTTCTTCTTCTTTTTTTTTTTTTTTTGGGTGGGAGGAGAGCTCAAAGTGTCATTAGCATCTGTGAAAGTGTTTTCCAGAATTGTGTTGCTTATGAGCCATTTCTCTTCTCTTCATGTTATCATGTTATGAGCCATTATTAGCATTATTATAGGAAAACATCTTCGGTGAATCATGCTGCTATTCCAAGTGGTACAGCAGCTAACTTTTGGCTCACGGGATAGCCATTTCCATTTTAATCTGGATTGTTCATACACAGGCACACAAGCTTCAGTGTGGCTCTGATTTGTGTCTTCTGGGGTGTATCAGTCAGCTCATCTGCCCCCTTACTGCTGCCATGACTATGAGGCTGCAAGGAACTTGACTTTATGCCTGCTGTGTTATCAGCCACTACTCCCTTTATTTTCTAGCTTGCTTTTTTTGTCTGCTGCATGTTGATGGCTACTGACTTGGTTTGTAGAGGGTTTCTGGGTAGCTTGATCAGGTTTAAATAAGAACATTCAATTCTTGCATCTCTCTTGGACACAGTTTCTCTGCAATGATCAAGACAACCAAGCCCTAACAGTTTAATTGTGGTACTATTATGAACTATTGTTCCATATTATGAGTGTACATGGGTCATTAGGCACAGAGGGTTAGAATGACTTGTCTGTGTGTATCAAGGAGACTGGAAGAAAGGAGGGGGCTGATTCAGGAGTAATGAGTTTATTCTCTGATATCCCTGAGAGGATTATTCCTTAAAAGTATAGGGCAGAGTTGGTTTGGATAAAAACTAATTATGAAACAAGAAATGAAGCCAATGCTTCTGACTTCACCCTCCCTGCAAGACCCTGGAGACTCACATTATTCATTGTGTTTAACCTAATAAAGCAATGACCCACATAGGAGGGAAGGGAGTGGATTGTAATTATTTCTGTGAGTAGTAATGTCCAGTTCAGAGAAGATGGTCTAAAAATAGGAACTCAGCAATGAAGTGACACGAATGGAAAAACCTAGAAACCATGGGACTTCTAGCTACTTCTCTGAAGAAACTGAAACACATTCATTTTGTTCATTTGAGTTTGTTTGTTTAAAGGAATACTCTCCTTCGACCTTTAGTTTTTAGAGGTGAAGTAGATAAAGGATAACAACAGCACACAAGGAATTTATACAGCAAATCAGTGTGGCTTCAGTAGCATATGTTCATTTGGGTGACATCTCAGCATGGCACTGATTTTAAGGTACCATTGTCTGAATTCAGGTCTGATTACGTGACTCGTACCTGCAGTAGATGTGATGACAAGTAGGTTAAGAGCAATCATGGCTAGGTGATTTCATATCAAATGTCTTCTCCAACTCAGAAAGCGAATAGGAAACAATGCTTAGCTTGCTTGAAAGTAAACACTGATTTATCAATTAGAAAGCCAAAAAGGATGAAAAAGCAACATGATTTGTCTAAAGGCAATATTGAAGTATTTAAGGTGGAGGAGGAAAGGTTCACAGACACATTATCATTTTATATTTCTAAGAATTCAGCCTAAGAAGCTGATGGGTATCATGAGATATAGAGAATATTGATGGTTTTCACTGAATAAAACTTTGTGATAAAAGGAGGCTGAGAATTTACCTACTCTATCATTTCTATTTCTCAGGAGTTCATAAAAATATTTTATCTTAACAAAAGTTCACATCATGTATGCTGCATGTGAAAAAAGGGAAAAAAACAAACATCTTGCCCATAAATTTTGCTCCCATCTGAGCAGCAAACACTTGTGAGGAGTTCATATAAAGAAACCACTAAATGAACAGCAATTGGTATTACTTTCTAGAAGAACTTCAGCCAATTCTCTAGCTTTGTTTGGTTATATAAATAGCTGAACATATAAAGAACGTATAATTTTGTATCCGTTATAACAAGTCTGAAGTCTGTTGTGTCTGTTCTCACCAATCCTAAAATTAAGTTCTAATTATATTCCGTATTGAGTTTTACGATATGCCTATTTGGTGTGTTTGCATGTGTGCAATAGCACTCTGCATGAAAAGTTTAGCTGAGATAAATGGCAAGAGAAATATTGTTTTTATCCCGAACTACTACACACGTGCAATGTTGTACTGCATTTACATGGCAAGGTTTTGGTAGCAGGGGGGCTGCAGGGGTGGCCTCTCTGAGCAGTGCCCAGCAGCTGCCCCATGTCAGATCAGAGCCAGTTCCAAACAGCCCCAAAAGGGACCCGCCACTGGCCAGAGATGGTCCATGGCTGCTGCTGGTTGGGAGTCTGGGAGAGCAGAGTTAAGAAAGGGGGGGGGGGGGGGTGAAAAACTGCTGTGCTACAGCAGCTGGGAGAGAGGGGTGAGACCCAGCCCTGCAGCCCCCAAGGTCAGTGCAGCAGGAGGGCAGGAGGTGCTCCAGGCACGCAGCACGAGTTCCCCTGCGGCCTGTGGAGAGGCCCCTGGTGGAGCAGGCTGTCCCCCTGCAGCCAATGGGTCCCACATGGAGCAGATCTCCACGCTGCAGCCCGTGGAGGAGCCCCCGGTGGAGCAGGTGGATGTGTCCTGGAGGAGGCTGCGGCCCATGGAGAGCCCCCGCAGGAGCAGGGGGTCTGGGGGGAGCTGCTGCCTGTGTGGGACCCGTGCTGGAGCAGTTTGCTCCTGGGGGGTGGACCCCATGCGACGGAGCCGTGTGGGAGCAGTGCTTGAAGATCTGCTGCCTGTGGGCAGCCCCCGCAGGCTCAGTTTTGGAAGGACGGTATCCCATGGGAGGGACCCCGCATGGAGCAGGGGCAGAGAGGGGCCGTGAGGGAGCAGCAGGGATGAAGCCTCAGGGGCTGACCTGCAGCTCCCAGTCCCCTGCAGTGTTCAGGGGAAGGAGAGAGAAGAAAGTGGATAGTGGGGAAGGTGTTTCTTGTTTGCTTTTATTCTCACTGTTCTAGTTTGTTAGGGATAGGCAATACATGATATTAGTTTCCCTATATTGGGTCTGCTTTCCCTGTGAGCTGATGAATTGTTGAGTGATCTCCCTGTCCTTATCCCAACCCTTGACCCCTTTCCATTGTATTTTCTCTCACTTTTCTTTGTGAGCTTCTTTTTTTTTTGCTTCCCAGCAGCATCACCAAGGACCACAGGCTCTCCACAGGTGCCCAGGCACCCCTCTTCCCTGGCCTTCCCCTGGCACCTGGCAGCGCTGCCTGCCACACAGCTGGCACATGCACCACAAGAGGGAGGTAGTCATCGTAAAATGGATGGCAGTGGCGGGCTTCTGATCCTCCGCGCATGGAGCGAGAAACCTGTTTGAATAATTAAGGCTTCCTAGATGTGACTACAGATAAAAATAGAGAAACAATGCGGTTTTGGCATGAGCGTAATGCTCCAGCTCGGGCAGAGAAGGCTTTGCATGGAACTCGACCAAAGAAAAATTCACTCCGGGCACTTGTATTACAGCTCCATTTAGCGGAGCAGAACAACCATGGCTCGTATTAAGTAGATAATAATGAAGCATCATAAACAATGTCAGGATGCGAGTCCAGGACGAAGCAGGAGCTTTAATGAGGTCCAGCTTGCCGGGAGCTTTTTGAAGTGTCTCTAGTTCAGTTACAAAGCCAGAAAGCAACAAAGGCGACTCTGCCAGCTGTGCGAGTATCTGGTTTAGGAGGAAGTTTTATGTGCGGATGACACCACGCTGGGATTCAGCTTTCATGTACTAACTAGCTCTGCTCGTTGCCTGAGCCCTGCATAAACTCTCTCCCCATAACATGTCGCACAAATAATAATTCTTGACAAATCAGATCCATGCCACCGGCTCCCAGGATAGACAAAGCTGGTTCATTGTGGTAAATAACAGGAGCCAGCAGGGTCCTTTCTGCCTATCACTAGCCATATTTAATAAGCAATCTAGGCTGTGAAAGGAAGAAATGAAACACTGGTTCTGTGGCAGTATCGATGGCACGAAGTATTTGTAGTTACAATAAAAGAGCAGTCAGCAGCCAAGACAGACGGCTAAATCAGATTCGCCCTACTCTAAATGCACGTTAATCACAGTGGACTCAGGTTCTTTGTAAAGGAAAATGGCATGTTTTTATTTTTCCCTTTTTCAGAGGAAAAAGGGATTTAGGTTGTTTATAAACTTAAATTTATATAAATAAACACTTGAGAAAAATGCCTTTATGCCTCGAAGATTTTTTTTTTTCTTGAAGATATTAAAATCAGTTTTTCACTTTTGTAAATGGAGATCAGCCATTCATTAACTAATTTTCACCATTATTATGGCTCTAACTATTATTAGTTAGGTGAGCAGTGTACTTTCTGTCAGAAGCATTAGGTTTAGCAGAATTCAGGTACTCTGAAAGCCCTGAGCACACTGCATCACACAGAACTTAAAGATAAGTGCAGAGGAGTCCTTTTGGGGTGATGCTGGAATTTTCTATGGGCAGGAGGGAGCTGAGTTACAGGGTACTGCCTCAGAGGAACAAAAAAGAGAGGTGTAGATGGGAAGGCTCCCAAAATGCGTCCCATGGCACAGACAGGCTCCTGCTGCTTTTGGTGGTGTTTGGGTGGAGATGCATACACTGTCTCTGGTGCTTGTTCCTGCAGCAGCTTGCCAGACAGTTGTTGATGCAAAGTAATGTGCTATTGTGTAATGATGACTGTACTTCATGTGCAGACCCCTTAAAGTGTCTACACTTATGTGTTGATTCCATAAGAGCAAGAGATCAAAGCCCTTTCTACACTATTAATTTGTTTCTTCTGATTCTGTGTAGGTAGCACATCTCCCTTTGATCTTTCTAATATACATTAAAACTTGGTAATTTCTTCATCTGAGACTCTTGCTGTAATGTCTATGGGGCAATAAGCCTCTTTTATGTTGGACGTATATGAGGGGTGCGGAGATGGTCCTAGTTCCTCAACCATGAGCCTAGAAGTGACTGCAATCTTATTAGCAGCCAGGAGAATAATAACAGTATCCAGTGCACTAACGCTGTGCCTCTAATTTTTTTTCTTTTGTTTTTCTTAAGAAACTGTAATCCCATAAGTGTCTTGACTGCCTGTTGCTGTGATTATAAAAATCAGCTTCCCCCACCTGCAGAGTCAGAAACAGATGGTTGAAAATCAAACAATATTTGTATTGCAGAGGCATTTCTTTGGTCCCCACCATTTCCCTTTCTTGCATCTCACTGTCAGGAACTACACACATACCTATCAGCTGCTTCTCTTTGCATGATAGGAGACAGAAACATTTATAAAAAACGTACTTGATCACTTGATGAGACAAAGCTTTTCACATAAACACACTGGAACAGCTTCTCAAAACTCAGTGTTAGTTCTGTGCTGTCCCTCTTCACACCAGAGTCAAATCTATCACTGCCATCCTCAGCACTGGCTTAATTGCAACACAGGTGAGAGGGCATGGTAGCAAGGAAGTTGGCAAATTAGGATAGTTAGAGAAATAAAATGAAGGAGGCAGGAACAATTGATACTGAATGGAAATGAAGTGTTTTACAACCCAGAGAAGCAAGCTTTTGGAGGGAAGCAGATGAGAGGCATGGGGTACAGGTCTTTCCCTGACGTGGTGCTTGCTCTTCCCATGACATTGTTCACTGAGGTGATGCTGTGGTTAGCTGGCAGGAGGCTTCAGTCTGCACAGGGTAAAGAATCAGTGCAATGTGAATGCTCAGATTGCTCTGGTCTGCAAATGGCACTTTTGAAAAAAAGGATTTAACTGGATTCAAATGGTTAACCTTACTTGCAGAAGGAGAAAAAAAGTTTGAATCCTTCTGATGACACTAATGTAAGTCACAATGAGGCTTCATTTAAATAAATAAATTTGCAAGGACTGCTCTGGAGGCTCTGGATGAGAACCAGCAACAGCAGTGTTAAGCAATTTCAAAGCCGAGCGAATGTGATTTTCACACCTATTCGTTTTTAATTTAGGTCCATTTGAAATCCAAGCACCCCTCTATTATTAATTAATGGTTTTGCTCTACAGCAGTAAGAATACTGTTTAGACTGAGTGAGATAGATTAGACAGACTGTAAGATTAGAAAAACAATCTGTAAACTGGTCAGATGCAGTTGGGGGTCACCTTGATCTCCTGAAATGAGCGCAGGGCATTCAGAAAGTCTGGGAGTGTGAGCAGATATCTACAGTGCAGACTCATTAGGGCTGGCTGGGTCAGCTCTCCTCGGTGCCATATCCCATTCCGGATTACAAGAATATTAGCTAACAATGTGAGGAGAAATAATTGTCAGACTTCCATAAAAGCTGATAATTGAAGAAAGCGCATACTATTTGATGGACAGTTTGAGTTCAGACCAAGTATGCCAGGAAACAAGGAGCAATTATTTAGTGACTTAGAAAAGGCACACAGTGGTGCATTGTACTTCCCATTCTCATGACTCACTTTGTCTCTGCTGTTCTTCATTAGTTTAGCAGCTCTCCAGGCTCCTCCTTGGCTACTCTGATCAACATGGTATGCCCAGTCCCAGACCATCAATAGTATTTATTTCATGCTTCGGTGGCCTAGCACAGATAAGACATCTGGTTTGAGGAAGAGCAGTTGCTGGCAGATTGATGGGCAAATCTTGTGATCATTTCAGATGGTCCCTTGATAATCTCAGTTACCTCCTATTCACCTTATACATGTTCAAGAGCTCGGAACCCCGTTGTACATGTACGTGAATCACAATAATGGATCAAAACACTGTTGAGGACTGCAGAGAAGCCACAATTTGGATTATACTATCTTTAAATTTTGAGTTAATATATTTTTTTCCTGGTGTAAAACGTGAGGTATTGTTTATTTTGGGGTATAATCTTGCAGTCACGCCAAACACATAGTGGAACAATCACAGAGAAGAAAATCAGAGGCAGAGAGATATTCTTTTATAAAAACACTGGCAGTGTAAAGATGCTCAAAATTTCATGGTGGGTTTTCAGCATTGGCAGGAGAGGGGCAGGGGAGACAGCTGAAGAACCAAGTTTGACTGCAGTTGCCCCAGGGAATTAATCTATTTCTGGCTTTGCTGTTCTTGCATTTCTTTGTTTTGCCTCAATCAGAAGAGATCAATATGGCAGGACTTTACAGCTATGCTCCAAATTTCCTGCCGGTTCAAGAAGCCTACTGTGTAGGCAGCACCTATTAGAACAGACTGGAGAAAACGGTGCCTTTCTTGACATTTTGCCTTGAATCTCCCTTGGTCAGCAGGGAAAGTGGCTGTCAGGCTGAGAGCATGCCTGAGGGCCAGGCTGAGGAACACCAAGTCCCCTGGGAGCCTTGATGAGCCAGGCACAAATGTCAACATTTGGAATTCCAGCTGATAAGAACCTGTGAAATTTTTGACACTTCCTTGGACCAAGTCAAATCCGTAAGTTCAGCACAGCTGGGCTACCAGTGTTATGAGGTTTTGGGCTTTTCCTGTTTCCAGTCAGGCTATAATCAGGAAAGGCCAAATGATGGCCTCCTATTTATAGCCACTGATAACAGCAATGGGAACAGGAGCAGAGACACACAAAGGCATGATATTCTTTGGGAAGGACAACCACAGAGATAAACATACGCCTGTATTCTACAAAATATTCAGAATATGGGTGAAACCGATCTAGCTTGCCTGTCCTTACTGGATATCCTGAAAAATAAGATGGAACACACACACACACACACACAAAGAAAAAAAATAATAGTGGTGGCTGCATAGGAGAACAGTTACTCCTTGTTCTGTGAAGAAATTAAAAACCCCTAATATTTCAAATTCTGTCCCTAAGCTGTTTGAGTTTCAGAGTGCTTTCATGCTTTTAAATAGATTTGGACACAAAACAAGCTGAACTTACTAAATGAAAAGTAGGCATAGCTTTGAAAATGTGGCTTGAAATGTGTCCTTGAAAATGTGTTTCACAGAAGATCAGAGAGATAGGAAGGAGCTGAAACAACTTTCAAGGCAGCTGGTTCTGACCACAGCTCAATGAGAACAACACTCTTTCCAATACAGTTACCACTGCTTCGACTGACAAAACAGCCAGATGGACTGACTGGAGCAGTGAGCAAAGAGCCACTTGATGAGATGCTGCATAACGCAGCCAGAACAAGTAGATACGCTTCTGTATTTAGTGCCTAAGGAAGTCAGTGGAAATACATTTGCTGGTGTCAGTGGAAGTTGGGTTACAACATAACCGACTATCACAAACTCAGGTTTTGTGTCATGGTCGCTATGTCTGTTGATGGAAAAAGTTAGTAAGGAAGTCAGAAGAAATCAGTGTTAAGGCTTCTCTCTCAACGAATATGCTGAGTGCTGGCATTAAAAGTGCCTGACTAATCTTTTAGTTGGACAAAACATAGCCATTTAAAAATACTGACAGAGGAAGTTTGATGACACATTTTCACTGACATTGATACTTCCAGAACAGTGAGAAAACGAAGGTAAGGAGGTCAGAAAAAGCCTTAAAAAAAGAGAGAGAGAATACACGATGAAGAATGTATTGTACAGTGAACAATCTGGGATCCAGGTAAGATGTGATATGAGAATGGAAGATATCAAGAAGCCAAACAACCGGGAAATACTTGAGAGATCAGGAATCAAAATAGTGGTACTTGTCATGCAGTTTCAGAATATGAGATACCAAGTTATCTGTTGATGAATGCATGGTATTTACCTGCTGATCCACCCAGCGAAGTTCACTGAGGACAGTAAAGCAGACAGTAGGACACAAACAGAGATTCCTTTTTATATCCAATTGCTAGGTTTCCATGGGGAAGGACAGAGATGTTCCTCCAAAGAAACCACTTTTTTTTTTTTTTTACCAGAACTAATTAAGATAGGAGACAGCATGGAGTTCTCAATTAAATCTCATCCATACTTCAGAGGAGTACTAGGAGGATAGAAATGCCAGGTTGGCCAAAGCCTCCAAAATGCCTGCAAAGCAGTCTGTGAAGATCACTGCTGTTCTTAAATTATGTTAATATCCCGC